TAAAATATACAAGGATAAGAAATCCTAAGTTTAGCTTGTGTTAATACTTTGACAGAGTAAATCATCTTTAGTTGTCAGTCGTTGTTTATTAGCATGTTCAACATATATGCGTGTATATGTTCATCTATTAACTTTCAAGTCTTTTAGCTCCTTAAATCATGAAGAAAAGAGCCATTGAAGATGCAGTAGTAGAGTCTGTTGAGAAGCTTCAAAAGAGACGTTGAGAGATGTTGGAATGTTTCACCAAACTGTCAGGTTATGTGAAACCTAGTTTGAAAAACCTTTGCTACAAAAAGAATTAGCAGTTGTACCCCAACAGACTCTATGGAGAAGATAAAGCTTAGGTCTTCACGTGACAAAGTATATTCAAAGATGAATAGTGATCTATCAGTGTCGCCTTGGTACTTGTGCTTTGATTAACTCAGGTTCTGATTATAAGTAAACTTCTCCAAAGTCTGGTCTTTAGAGGCTGACTCATTCAGACTCTAATTTTTGGATGATGACCTCTTTGGAAGATGACTTCTTTAGAGTCTGGTATTCAGCTTCTTGATCTATCATAATTTGATCTCCACATTTCTCTTTGAATGTTCAGAGTCAGAACCAATACTTGAATATTATATGAAACTTTAGTCTTTGGTCCTGTACACTTTAACAAACATCAGTATACCTTATTTTTCTTTAAATACTTTGTTATCATCAAAACCTAAGGGATATGGGACAAACCATATTTGTTCCAACATTTTCAACTCCTCCTTTCAGCCTATTTAAACTCCTCTTTACCTTTCGCTTTTCATCATCTCTTGCGTCTTCTCTAAACTGTTTATGAAAGTTTGGTCTCTTTCATTTTAACTCTTTTATTAGAAATAGATTATATCACTTTCTTGGCGAAGGAATCACGTTGTCCATCATCTATGAAAATTTTGTTGATTTTGACGAGCTCAAGGGTCAAGGTTTTGATCTCTCTAATGTTGTCTCCTCTCAAAAATGGTAAAAAAAAAATACACTTACATGTTATTTTGACCCATTTATCCAATTCTTATGAAAAAATTATGGACAAATATTTCCTTTAAGAAGCTCGTATAGGATGTTTCATTTATCCAATCCAATTCCTTTGGTATTCCTATTGTCATCATTCCTTCTCTCATTGCAAAGAGAATACATTATAAGGAGCATGGTGTTTGTATGGATATGTACAGAAGTAAAAGTCCTTTCATTGACCTCATTCCTTTGAAGATTATTGCCAACCTCAATAAGCTTGCAATTGTCTCCTATCTACTTCCCATGGCGAAGATATGGCATCAACTTTTGGTGTCAAATATTTAACCAAGAGAAGAGAATTTGGACTTGCTCACTTATGATGACAGGCATCTTATTTTCTTCATCAAGACTAAGGTTTAAGTTAACCTCTCTCTCACCATCTATAACTTCATATAGTCAAAGATCATTGCCTCTCACGAGAAAATGTTTGTCTTCATTCTTTATGGTTGATTTCTTTCAAAACTCTTCTTCCAAGAAGGACTTGTAAAGAAGGTACAAGATGATGGCTTAATTGAGGCTCTTGAGAGCCATTGGTGCTTCAAGCTTGATGTAGCTGAAGACACTTCTGGTGTTGGACCCTCTGCTCCCTAGTTTCCTTTCCCCTTCTTTTGTTTTGTATCTCTTCTGGTGTATCTCTTTTTTCCAAAACTTTAATGAAGTTATTTTTTAGTTTTTGTTTTGGCTCTGATCACATTTACCTTGTTTTTTAATCTATAAAAAGTTTGTCTTCGTTTTATCTTATTATTTCTCATTGATGACAAAGGGGTAGAAAAACAATATGATTTTGATATCTCTTTAACCTATAATAAATATCAAACATGCTACATTCATATGCATTAAATTGTTAAAGATTTATTAACCAGGAAATCAGATTTGTGTTTTCAAGTTTATCAACCAGACAATCAGATTTCTCATTGATAAAAACTAAATTCTGAAACTGACTATTTTTTCTGAATTGTCAAAAAATGTATAGTCTCAATCTCAGGGGGGGCTTACAAACCTCACTCTAAAGAAGCTGAGAATAATTTTGATAAGTATCAAATTCAGGGGGAGCTTACAAACTTAACTCTGATATTTTATAGAATTGAATATACAAGTAAAAATTGTTCATCAAAATACATGAATTTGTCCTCATCAAAAAGGAGAAGATTGTTTGAACAAGTTTGGTTCTACAACTATCATTGAGTTTCGATGATAACAAAGCTTAATATGTATAGAAAATAATTTTGTACTCTAACTATTTTGTTAAGTGCACAGATCATAGAAAACAAGTTCTGGCTCTAAACTAAAGATGCACTTTGAACTAAAGGAATAATCAAGGGTGTGTTTAAATGAAAGTTAAGCATCTGGATTACCAAGTCAACACTTTTACAAAGAAACCATCCAGAACGACTCTGATAATTCAAGCTTCTAAAGTCTTAGAATTCTGAATTTCATAGACTCTGAAGTCTCATTTTCACCAGATTCTAAAGACATGCTCTGAACGTTATTCAAGCTTCAACAACTTTAATATGAAGCCTCTGACTAGAAGTTAATGACTTAAAGTCAAGGAACACGTGGCAAAGTATAATAAGTACAAAAGAAAATATCTTTTCCAGTACCCTGAAGATCAAAAAAATGACTGTACTATTCTACCAATGTCGTTCCTCACGTCCCATCCTCGCCCACTATCTGCTGCAAACGTCACTCTAGTATTGTAGAATCAAGTTGTTGTCTTATAGCTATAATATTGAAGATATTCCAACTTCACCCTCTGATGTATATGTTCTTCACTTATATAAAGAGGTCTTGGAAGCTTGGAAAACAACTAATTGCACAACCCTGAACAACGTCCATACGTGAAGAAATAATAGAAAGAAAAAGTAGTGTTTTCACACTAAGAAAACTCTCATGTTCATACACTTATAACACTTTCTTGAATATATTTGTTAAGTGTAATCTTTGATTATAACTTGTGTATCTGCTTATTTTTTTAGAAGCACAATCTTGTTTATTTATCTTTGGTTAAGTTCCTTGAGAGACTAGGGTATAGTCAGAATTTTCAAGATGTCTTTGATAGATTATCATTGAGTTTGTAATCAATTCTTTGATTAGTGGATTAAGTTCTTATTGAGAAGGCAAAATAACTCTAGCGGGTGGACTAGGCGTAGCTTAATTAATAACGAACTATGATAAAAATATTTGTGTCTTTTATCTTTGTCGGTTATTTGTTGTTTATGTTATTGGGTGCAAAAAAAATTTAATCTAAAAATACAATTCAAACCTCACATTTCTTGTGTTTCTTGAACCTTCATGGTTGAGTCTAACTTTTCTATTTCTAGAAGTAGAGCATTTATGGTCTTATTTTGTTTCTCTTCTTTTAATCAAAATTCCTTCCACTCAATGAGTAAGATTCCTTACACCAAAATTAGCAAACAATTAATAAACAAGATGAATAATGCAACAAAAAAAAACAATAAAAGGACACAAAAACAGTAACAAGGGTCAGATAGAATATCATATCCCACATGTGTTCTCTCTTCACAAAAACAATTTGAATGTACTATGTTGTTTTGCATGATACAACCAATCCAAAACAAAAAAACAAAAATATTTATCATTGATAAAAAAAAAATGTGTCCTTGATACATTAAAAGATTAGTGCAAGCTTTATGAAATTTCATTTTGAATGAGATTATTTTTTTTACAACTCAATTTTCACATAAAAAAATTAGGAGTTTTCAATGTGTGAAAGTTGATAAAATTGCTTATAAGTCAGGCAAGAGATTAATTTTGTTGTCTAATTTTATTGTATTTGACAAATTAGTGTTACATTCTTATTCTTATAAGAGTTTAATTGTTATGCACTGACATTATAAAAATGTTTTACTCTGTCATTCAATAAGATGTCATATAATTAATTTAAAATTTTTAATATGATTTGACAAAATATATAAACATCATTAATTGACATCGTAAAAAAAAATATTATAGCGTCATCGTAAAAAAAAATATTATAGTGTCAGTGCATCACTTTTTTTCTTTCTATAATTGATTAAATATTTTAATCATTACATAATATTAACAATTAACATAAAAATGATATTGATAAAAAAAAAACTCGTGCTATGTACTTTTCTAGTTTTTTTAATCAAAAATCTTTTAAATGAAGTCAAATAAGAGGCATGGAGATACTTTATGTTGATTTTTTAATCAACTTAAATCTTTATCATTACTATTACATTGTCCTTCATATCTGAAAATATTATTCCACGGTTATACTAAAATTTCATTTCACATCCTCTAACAAAACAAAAACAAGACAAAATTGGAAACATTCTCTTTCAAAAAAAGCAAATTAGTACATGATTGATCCATAAAAAATGACATCAAAATAACAAATATGGTCTCCAATCTATTATCAAAATTAACATGCTTTTGTATATGATTTCTCGCCTAATATTGCAACCTTTTGTTGGTTCGAGTCTAACTGTAAGCTGAGAGGTGGAAAAATGACCATGTAGGTAAATCTGTAACAAAGTGATAAACAAAGTTGAATGTCGGTCAAACGGCAGAAATATTTGTAAACATAAAAGACTTATTAGTATCATATTGCTCCCCGGAGTCATACTCTCTCGACTAAACAAAGTCCAAGATAGAAAATATTGGACTAGTGACATTACTGACAGATTTTCTAGAGTTCAATCACAGCAGAAAAAATTGAATTGTCTACCAAAACTTTCGTGACATATATGCTTGTAATATAAAGATACATGGTTCAAAAAACACCTTGATATGGTTGGTATATGAGAAAAATTCAAAAGAAGTAGGTACTTTTAAAAAGAAAAATATGGAAAAAACGTGGCATGGGGTCAATAATGGTGTAATCTCCCCATATTCCTATCTCACCTACAAAGAAATTCAGAATTTGCAGCTATTTGGCATTGTGTAATGCAACTCGCAAAATTTTACCATTGAACAAGTTAAACTGCCTTTGGCTTTGACTTAATTCGCTTCACCCTTGAGTAGAGGAAAACACCAGCAAGACCAACAGCAGTACCTGTAAAAAAAAATATAATGCAAAACGTCAGCCATGAAAGTGAATGTATGTGTATAGAATCTTCAAATGTTTTGAAACAAGAATGATGTAATCTTACCTAAAGCATTCACAGGAGAGACAGGTGTTTTGAAGATGATCACAGAGCTCACAATAACCACAACACGCTTCACACAATTGCCGACGGAATGAGTAACAGGTGATACCCTCTGCAATATCATGTAAGAAACCTGCAAGCCCATTCACAGAAAACCGTTAATGAAAACCATGTCAACAATTATAGTACAAGACCCTAGTTAGTAGCAAAAGTATACCCTCTCATAATAACTTGTCAATCAAGAAAAGAAAATATTTAATAGAGGGGCACAATTGTGCATAGAAATGAAAACAGATAACTCACTTGTTGATATGCATGGAAACAGAGTGCAGCAAGAAGAGATCTGGTGTACACTTGTCTAACATTTAATCCCTGTCGAGAAAGATAATGCAATAACATATTAGCAAACCCAACACAATAACAACTTTAGAGTGTACCTAGACGACAACAATTCTATCTACTCTAACCAACAAGTTACTCACAGCAGATTGCAGATAAGCAGGGGTGAATTTGACACCCTCCATAAAGATAGCTGCTGGTGCTAACAAGAAGAAGGACATTATTGTTATTATAGAGAAGAGAGTTATGTTGTCCAAGGATTCCTGAGAAGAACAAAATCATCGTTATTTTCTGCTTTTTTTTTACATATAAGAGGTTCATAAAATGTCTTGTTGAACACAAATATTAGGAATGTCAACGGATCACATTACCTCTTGTTTAACCATGACCTTTTTGCTAAGAACATTACGTGATTGGTTTGTCACATTGGAAGCCATTGCACTCCAAAACCCAGCCCTATTCAATACCATCAAAGTTTATAAGAACTCAAATGGCCAAATCTTTTCTTTCCATACCATGCCACATCCCTTCTTCACTGGCTATAGATGGAAGATAACATAGAGAAAATCTTACCAATTGAAAGAGGCCTCAGTAACAGAAGCCAGAGCAACTCCACCAACAATAGGCACAAGGGAACCAATCACCCATGGTGTAGGCCTCTGTCAGAAAGTGAAACAAGAGATTACTACTAGAAAAATCACCTCCTAATACATCATATGTATTTAATTTTCTATCAGCAGATATAATATACTACCTCTGGTCCATAATATAAGAAAAAAATTGTTTTTTACATTCATTGAAGAATCAATGTATTTGGACTACATATAGTCAAGATACATTGATTCTTCAATGAATCTAAAAAGTAAACTTTTTCTTATATTAAAAACCAGAGGAATATAAGTTAGACAACAAATGTTTTCAACAATAGGCTATAATGTGGCAGAACTTGAGTAAATCACTATTGTTCAACGATAGACTATAATGCATCAGAATATAAAGGACCGTGACCGGAACTCAAAATCATGCCAAGTTGACACATACTTATCAACTATCATCCAATTCATTGAAGATTAACTACAACAAGCAACGGCATGTTTTGGTAAAAAGAAAAAAAGTTGCATTCTAACCTCTCCAAGAAACATGGCAGAAAGGATAACAGAAAAGAAAGGCTCCATAGCTTTAATAGTGTGAGTAAAAGACACAGCCACCTTTCCAAGACTCATATTGGTGAAAAGGTTCCCCAAAGTATGCACAATAGCAAGTGGAAATATAGCTGCAAGCTGAAAACAAATAACATACACATACATGATAAACAACACATAACTGAATAATAGATTTATCAACTAATTAATCAGAGAGAAAAATACCATAGCGCCATTGATTTTAGGCCTCTTGTAGAGATTAAGAGCCCACATAACTGATACAAGAACAGTCCCAACAGCAAACTGAACTACAGTAACCGTTACAGGAAAATGACATGCCTTCAACACCTGAAACGAAAAAGAAAAATTACTATAAATTCAAAATGCTCCTCAGCATTGCACAATACAATATTTCACAATACAAAAGTATCATAAGAAATAGATCTCATGAAAAGAATTAACAAGCACCTGTTTATTATAGATATTGAAGTAGATGTTGAAGAGGTACCACAATCCGAACAAGGATCCAAGTTGAAGAGTTTTGAGCAAAGAATTAGAGTCAGCAGATTCACCGGCGCTTTCGGAAGTGGCTTTAGGAGGAGAAAGATCGGGAGTGGAAAGGAGAGGAAGAGGTCGGAATTTGAAAGAAGAGGAAGGAGAAGAAAGAGACCATGATTTACGAGTGAATGAGGAAGAAGAAGAAGAGACGCCATTGGGATTGGGATAGGCGCCGCCGTTTAATTTGGCGGAGAGACGGAGGTTGGTGGAGGAGCGAGTGAAAGTGTGGTTGAGATTTCGGAGAGGGAGAGAAGGGGAGAGAGTGAAAGCGGCGGACTGCATTTTGAAGATCTGAAAGGGAAGAGGGCGGACGTTTCTATAAGTATGGGAATGAAATGAATATCCCTTGAGGAGTCCGCCACCAGCTACAATGTTGGTTTGGTGAGGGAGTAGGTGAAATGAAATACCTTAAGACATATACTGTTTGATTGCAAGACAAAACTAACTCTTTTCAACTGGAAGATACTTAAACAAGAGAAGATGCACCAATTAGGTTTTTTTTTTTAAAGGAGAAGATGCAAAAGTAAATAATAAATTCAAAAGAAATGTTTTAATGGAATATTCGGTATATTATATAATTTTGTTTATTTAAATAAATAGTAACTAACATACTAACATATACCTGACCAAAAAAAGAGAAATAATAGGGACGGGAAAATATGATACAAGAGAAAATTTGTCATAAAAAATGTGATTCTTAAATGACGGATATTTATATTTCTGGTTTTTTTCTTTTTTTTTTTCAATTTTCGTTTTGGAGAAAATGTGTGAAATCTAAATCTTGAGGAAAATAGTGAGATGACCGTCCGTTTTTGTTTTTTCTTGTTATAAATAAATGTGAGGGAAATATCTAGACAAAGAAAAGGTGAGGGAAAAAGTAGAAAACAAAAACAAAACAGCAAGAATGAAGACTATATAAAATGAAAAGTAATAAAATAAAATCATTTTAAAAGATAGAAAGGGAGACAATCCCCACGAAAACAACAAAAAAGACTAAAAACGATGAATTTGTAGTTAGTAAAATGGGTAGTTTAATTTTTGTAAAATAAAATTGATATTTTTAATATTGAATATGGATATGATTTTAATAATTGATTTATTTATAGATCTTGTTCTTTTGGACAAATTTATTTTTATTTTTTATTTTTTATTTTATTTTTAAAAATATTCGTTCACTTTATAGAAGTTTAATTTAAAAGTGTGGAGATAAAATATTTTGTCTATCAAAAACTTATAATGGGAATATGTTAGGTTAGGTTTTATAAGGTTAGAGTTAAAAGATCAGAGAAATTAGTATTGGTGAGGGTTTTGTGTGGATTGGTTCTTAATTCGAACAAGGTATGGGGTGACAAATCTAACTCCTCTAAGTGGATGGGTAAGTTTTAACTTCAACAGGGTATGGGGTGATAGATCTAACCATTCTAAGAATATGGTAAATATGAGAAGTAAAACGATTTTTCTTTTTCTTCCATTTTCACTGTCATGATTTTCAATCATTATAACTATGTTCACTTTGTAATTTGGATACACAAAAATTTGTGCTCTTCTTGAGGTGATCTATCCTTAAAGTCCCTAGAAACGAAAGGGTCTAAATATATCATTTATCATGTCAGAGAGGTTCCCCCGCTTAAGCGGAGCAACGTGTTTTTTTCTCAGAGGAGATCGTGGGAAAATCATTATTTTACTTTTGATGATATCGTCAATAAAAGATTGAACCATATATCTTTCTATGAGGAAGAGCTAGTTAACAATGTACCAAACCGCCACATAGTAAGAGTCATAATGGCGAGTCACGGCATTAGACGCATATTGGTGAACCAAGGGAGTTCTTGAAACATCATGTACGCATAAATGTACAACCAATTGAGATTGAAACAAAGTTTACAATTGTATCATGAATGAAACCTATGTGATTTTGATCGCACTGACTATAAATTGTGGGGGTGTGTTACGCTCCATATGGCCTTCAGAAACAACATATGGACAAGAAACACCCCGTTTTAGTTTTTTTTAAATTAAATTAAAGTTATTTTTATTTGATTATGGGTGTATTTGGTGTGTTTGAGAATTTTGGGATTTTATTGGATAATATAGAGAATTAATGAGAATTTTAGTTATTTTAATAATTAAAATAATAAAGAAAATAGGAAGTTGGAGAGTTCGGGTAGAAATTGAGAATAATTAATTAATGTAGTAAATTGGTGGCATTTTGTTGAAAACATATAACGTGGTGAAAGTTGTTTTATCGTGTCAACAGGGATTGTTTTGATGTCACTTGTCATTCTATAATTCAAAGAGTTTTAAGTAAGGTTTTCAAAGGTGTTTTGTTGGTATCATAAGTTGTCGCAAGTTTTAGTAGCAAAGAGTAAATTCTAGAAAGATGTTTGTTTAACAAAGCATATCAAGAATAGATTTCATCAACCTAACTTGCATATATTCGATTAATCAAGCATGTGAATTTGTTTCCGATTAATATAATCATGTACCCTCTCAATATCGTTTATGACTAAAGCGGTTTGTGAGTATTATTGTGTCTTTCACTAGATGATGTTGCATGCTAACAATCAATACAATAATCATTAAGATTGATACAAAGCAAATATCAACTCACAAATCTATGTCTAGAGTTTGTTCATTTATATATGAATATCTTAGATCAAGTTTTGCAAAATCTATGTCTAGAGTGATTCAAAGCAAAAATATATCATTAAGGATAAAGATATTCACCATATATAAACATCAACTTGTTCACATACAAAAGATTAGAGTAAATACATACAATATCAAAGGAGACTACATCTACCCTTGATACAAAAGATTTAGCTACCCATCACCATGGTAGCTTGCTTCACAAGGAGTGATAGAAGATGAATGTGCATCCACGATAAAGAAAGGATAATGGATGCGAATTCAGCTTCTATTTGATAAAGATCACTTCTTGATGAAGAAATGAAGAACTTAGAGTTTTTGTGCTCCAAAGAAATATTGTCTAAGAATTTCTAAGAATGTGAAAAAGAATAAATTCCAAAAAGCAAGAAAAGTACATAAGTATCTCCCAAATTTTGCCCTAGCTCGTACAACGAGCTCCCTTTTTAGGCACTTCAATTGCCTCCGGAACAGTTAAATCGTCCCTCAGAAATATATGAGCTTACACTGCAAGCTATCTCGCTCAGTCCTTGCACTGTATCCACTGAGGAAAAAAGCTACTGCATTCTTTTTTTCTGGCTCGCTTTCACTTCACCTTTGTGCTTGCACTGCGAGCTCGCCTTCACTATGTTGGCAGTTTGCACAGTGACCACTATCTTTAACTTCTTTTCTTTTGCTTTCTTTTCCATTCTTTTGTGTCTTTTTTATGGTGGTCAAGCCTAATTCCTACACAATGAAACACAAATTAAGAAATCCAAAGGTATATTAGATTATATTGAAGGTTCACACAATTTCATGGAATAATTCAATTGAAACACAATTAAAGAGTTGAAAAACACCAAAAAAGATGATTTAAATTAAGTCATATTTGGCATTCAACAAACTCTCCCCAACTAGATATTTAATTGTCCTCAAGAAAATTATGCATCTCATAAAAATTAATAGGATTTGTCCAAGCATAAAATTTAACCAAGAAAGGATTAACGGTTCAAATTCAACATAAGAATGCACACAAACAATGTTCACTATTTCCTAGAATCAAACAATGATAAAGAATTTAGTTCTTGAAACAAATATCATGCAATGCATTCAAACAACAACTAGATTTTCATACTTGAATCACTCTAACATTCCTCTTCAAAATAAGGATGAAGAAATTTACGCGTTTACAACCGCAAGGTAATTTACACTCATCTAAAAAACAATGCTAACAACAATTCAATTCATACATTCATCTAACTCATCTGACAATTGCACATTAAGTTTTCATCTTCAATTTTTTTTTCTATCTAACAAGCTTTTTTTTCTTTTCTTTTTCAAATTCATATTCACAATTTTTTCATGCTTGTTCAAAAATTTTCAAATTTTATAGCAACCTACTTGAATACAATCAAACCTTAAGTGAATGCCCTTACTTTTTATAGCATGGAAATCAGTTTAAAACAATGATCAAAGTTAAAAGGTTTCAAAAATAAATTTTTTTAGAATCCCACAAAATTCAGTGATAAACTTAGCTTTTAAGTTTCTATATGTACACAAACAAAGTTCATCACCAAAATGGGATATAATCTGTTAAAGCTCAAAGCGGTTAACAAATACTCACTACTCATCGGGTGAGTTACTTTCTTGGATATGGTTGTGCTCAATATAAACAAATTGTCTTGATCATTCTAAAGCTTTCACAAAATCACAATAATCAAAAGATTAAGCATGAATAAAATGAGTTAAACAAAGTTATCTGTCATCTAAGCATTTAGTGCACAATGGATGTTTCTCACAATTTGTGGCTTTTGGGCCTATGTGACTCAAGCATTCAAATAAGTAGCAAAATGAAACAAGAAAACACATTTGTACAAAGCACAAAATTCATAGTCATTCTAACATTCTAGAAAGTGGTAACCATGTACCTTGCTTGCATTCATCATATTAAAAATCCTACAATCATCATCTAAACTTGGTAGAATCTTCATTGGATACTTTTTATGCAAAAGAGCAACCAATCTATGAAATTCTCCTCATCACATTCAATGTAGAAGCAAAAAATTCAAAACAATTTAACAACCATAAAAAGAAAACTAATTAACCATTCAAACTGAAATATTCAATTCATTAAACATAATGTAATGGTGTACACACCAACAAAAGTAGTAGTAGAAATCCAAATAAGTCCAACTAACTGGATAAAGTACAACACGAAAATAAAAGAAATAAAATACAATAACATCAAAATATAGCAATGATCATAAAGCTTAAACAAGAAACTTCACTTTGTCGAAACACAAGAAAGTAAGCTTTTAAGATCATGATCAAAAAACATCAGAAACGAATCCTCCTCAGAATCGGACTCAGACTCCTCAGCACCATCACCATCATCATCATCACTATCATCCTTAGCATCCTCAGCATCAGCTACACCCGCCTTCTCTCTAGAAAATGGTCTGACCTTAGGCCAACATGCATGAGCTAGCTACTGCTCCCTAGTCATAATAAAATGATCCATTGTAGGCTCATAGTACTATTGTTGCATCTGCCACATAGAATCATGTATGGAAATCATAGCACAATGAGTCTCCTGTATCCAATCCCAATTTTAGTTGCATACTTCCCTCTGATTAGGGTTAAAACTCTAGAAGTTA